CATCGAAAGAAATTTTGTTTTTGACTACATTGTATTTAACGCCCTTCGATTTTTAACAAACTTTCCCATCCTGGAGTTTGAACGAGTACATTTTAGATCTTAGCCCAACAAAGTGAGTCATTATTTGACCGTTGGCCTCATCCTTCATTAGACCCACAACTTTTTTATTTACTAGAGGTATATCATATGGATTTTCTCTAGGATAGTCGCTAGTATCAAATTTATCTAAATTAGGTTTAATTAATTCTTCATAAACGTCATCGCAACAAATTTCATAAATAAAGCTATCTGTATCAGTATACATGAGTTTTATTTGATTTACTAAAGAGCTTTGTTGCAACATAAATTGATAGTGAAAATCATACATGAGCGTTTTCGATATATCTAGTATAGCCATTCCAATGTAGAGAGGTTTATTGAAAATCAAGTTTGATTTATTCATTTCGATGGCTACTAAATTTTCATCGAAAATCGCTCGACTATGAAATAATGGACTTGCAATAAGATTCTGGGCTCCATATCGGCCACCCCATTTTTTAATCAATTTAAATAAATAAATAAATAAATAAATAAATAGATCTTTATTTAGCACTTGGCTAGTTATTGCAATACAAGTATTTACAAAAGGTATTGTTAGTTACAAAAATAAATATTACTACTCACTTACTTACTATATGCCCCTCAGGAATGTATCAATTTCTGCATTGAAAACTCTCAAACTTGGTGCATTCTTTATTGCTTCGGGAAGAGCATTGAACATGCGAACACCTTCATAAAATAATGATTTTTGTAAAGTTGCCGTTCTAACCGACAATATGTTATAGTCCTGCCTTGAGCCTAACGATCCGATGTTTTCGAATATTTTCCATTGTTTTTCCGAACACCGCTTTGTTCATTAATTTGAACAGGTTTTTAGCAAAATTGGTAATGGCCTGGGCACGTAGATTAGTATTTAAATCAATGTAAGATTTGAGCCAAGGTGCTTGTCGGAATGACAGAATTCTATGTAATTTTTTAATTTTCAAGCCATTAGCTAATGCCTGCTTCAAATTTCTGTAATGTAAGACATACTTATCTTTATATGTTCGGCACAGAAAGGAAAATCTTTATGTAAATCATGTAATTCCCTCGGATATTCTATATCAGCCTCTACTATGAATCCAGTATCGGCTTCATCTGACACTTGGGTTACATCAAAATTTGAAATTTCTTGTGCGTCTAGCCACTTGAAATTACCGTAGGGTAAATATTGACTCATAGCCCAACCGTACAAGTTATTAGCATCCAGGTACATTAAAAACTTTGATAGTTCCATGGGATTGTATGTTGACATATATTTGTTGATGGCCTCGGAATATCGGTTTGAGCACATCGAGATTCCGCCCCTCAACCCGCCTTCTACAAATAAAATTTGATCTACATCTTTCAAGAGTTCTAATTCACATTTCGTATATTTCAACATACAATCCCACGTGTACCAGGGGAATGTATAGTACCAAGCGGGATCTAAACCATAAGTACTATGAGAACTTTTTCGGAAATTTTCGAAAAAATCGGCAAGCAATAAAACATCAGTTTTGAGGTATAAGTCTGAATATTGACCTAAATTACTAATTTCAAATTCGCGCCAGATAGTTTGCGCATGTTGATATTTTTCATCGCTTATATGCTCATCGTTTAATTGATTGTAGAATTGGGCTTTTGATGGTAGTTCAGTATCATTCAATTTATCTATAGTATTGATATAGTCATAACAAAAAACGCCTTTCCGTGTTAATAATTGGAACTTTTCATTATCCAAATTTCGAAATTCTTTTTTTTAAATTTTCAAATCGTTAATATTTAAAGTTGAGGCTAATTCGTCCAGCGATGCACCCAAAAATCTGAGTGAATCGATGAATCGAATTTTAATGTGGGTATCACCAGAATCGTTAAGCGTAAATGATATGTATTTTTCTTTATTGTTAGGTAACAGACTCACATTCCCTATTTTACTGATTTCCCTGAGAGATTGTGAAAGACCAGAGGAACTATGAATAATTTACGAAATTGCAAATTGCAAATTTTACAGGTAAATCCTCTGAATTCACCTGTAAAATGATCATGGTCATTTACAATTTTCCCATCCTTAAAGGGGCTGTGCGCCAAAAATTAAAGTTTTAGTGTGAAAAAATCTAAGAATAACTGTTCAAACCTCGTTATTCTACGATAAACCATCGCTGAGATATACCGCTTTAAAGTGTGGACGACGCTCTCGTGACGTCACGAAAACTTCGTCCAGCCGCGCTCCGCAATGTTAATTTGATTGTTCCCGGCACGTGTGAGTGGTTTTTGTTTAGAGTATTGCAGGTAACACAGGAGAAACATATGTAAATTTAAATAACTCCACTTTCTCGTGCGTCGCTTGAGCTTTCGTGACGTCATAGGGTGAGATGCGGTACCTTCATAGAGCCATATCTGCGGTATTATTTGTCATAGAGGGGTGCGGATTTCACTCTTATTCTTAGATTTTTTTTCTCTTTTTTTTGAGATGAAGTTGTTTTTTTGGCGCACACCCCCTTTAAAGTCCTTTGCAGTGAAGGGTTTCTCACAAATGTGGCATGCTTTTGCTTGTGCACGATTAGGATGTGTGGAAATGGGGACTATATTTTTAATTTTTGATTCAACCATCTGTGCTACGTTAGCCATTTCACCAGTGAACCAGCTCATACAATCTTGCCCTCTATAACTTTTGAAGAATGACAATGAGTCATCATAGCTACATTTAACATAATAGCCTGCACTGAAAGCCTTATGATGTTGATAACGAATAGTTTTTATTTCAGGTTCGACATTTTCACTAACATTCTCTAAAAGAGACTCAAAATCGGCGTGAATAATGAAAGGAGCTTCTTGTTTATAGACATGATTTTTGAAGCGAACGGATTCGAAATTTGGAAAAATACATTATGTTCCTGTAATTTTACTTCACTTGAAAAATAGTTGAGACACCTGTCACAAATAAGTTTTTTATGATCATTTTTACTTGCCTGTGAAGATACAAGCCTAGATAAGTTTTTAATGTAACAAAAATGGAATTTTACGTTAACTTTTTCGTCCTCCTCCACAACAAGTTCATATTCATCAATTTTTTGAAAATATTTATCTTGAATTAAAAGTAAATTTATATGATTTTCCAATTTTGTTTCAGTTAATCTGGCTGGTACAGTATTATATGACTCCCCAACCAATTCTAGAACGAAAACGTTGACGGAAATATTCAAATGACTATTCAATTTTTCAAATTTAGTTATTTGATCTAGGGTCATTGGTAATTCTAAACCAGTTGTATTTAATTTGGTATTGTAATGTGGATAGGAGCTGACACGATCTGGATTTATTTTTGCTGGATAAAGGGCCGATATGATTGCCCAGAAAAAACATGCATCGTCATCGTAGTTTTTAACATTTACACAAGCATTTTTATTTGTAATTGCCTGAGGTAGCCTAATGTAAGATGAGCCCGCACCATTCCCAATTTCAAATTTATTGATATTAATTTCAAGATATACTATTTTGCGTAATGCCCACCCACTATCCCGCTCTTGAAATTCTTCTAGGTCCGAAAGTATTTGATCTCTGATGTACTGATTGAAATAAGTAGCCAAATTTGTACCGGCATCAAGTATATCGTTTCTAGTTGAAAAATATTTGAATTCAGTTATCTCTTCATCCCGTTTTTTGATTATGAATTCGCCACAAAAGGTGCAGTTCACTTTTAACATAGGATGGGACTTGAGTACGTTTACGATTCTATTTTTGAACATAAAAAAAGCATCTTTGAAAAATTCTAAAACATCTTTGTGAACTAAATTTATGATTATTCCCGTCCTCATCCTACTTTTAAAAGCGGTCTGGACATCCTCCCATTTAATTCTCAAACTACGTTTTTTCGGTAGCAATGCATTACCTGTACCCGCTTTAAAAGGTTCCCTAACTAATTCTTTCTTAATCAAAATACGATTTTTTTTCAAATGACCTAATTGAGTTTGTAATTTTCTTTGAGTTCCTATTGGTAAAACATTTTTCGCATTGAATTTAAGAATTTGCCCAATTGAAGTATTTACATGTTTAATCCAGATACGTTTTTCCGCATCATTTGAATCTCGGACAATTTCCTCATAAGCTTTTTCAAAAACAGCAATAATTTCAGCACTTACATTTAGAATTTGTTTAAAATGTTCATCAGCCATTGTTGTTGTTGTTGTTGTTGCTGAGCTGTCTCAGAGTTGTCTCGGAGCTGTCTTCGAGTTGTCTTTGAGGTGTTAAAGGTGTTGTTTAGCTGTCTCGGAGTTGTCTTGGAGCTGTCTTCGAGTTGTCTTTGAGGTGTTAAAGGTGTTGTTAAGCTGTCTCGAAGGTGTCTTGGAGCTGTCTTCGAGGTGTTAAAGGTGTTGTTAAGCTGTCTCGGAGTTGTCTTGGAGCTGTCTTCGAGTTGTCTTTGAGGTGTTGTTGTGTCTAATTAACAATATAAAAATGTAATAAATGTTATTAACTGAAAATAATATACTTACAATTTCAAAATTCAAAGACACGTTTCAAACCTCAAAGTGACCAATTTTTGATTCTATTATTAAACTAAAAATAGAATAACGTATTATTATCAGGGTCTTTAAGAATAATGAAAAAATTACTTACATAGTTTTAACACTAAATACACACAATCAATTGAAGACATAAGTGGATAAAGGTGCTATGTCGCATTTTTTTGAAAAATCACTTTCTTGATTTTTTGAGGTATCCAGTTAGTGATCTAACCTTCTAGAAGGGTTTTAGATGCATATCTTGATATTTAAAGAAACTACGAATTGATAAAGGTGCTATGTGACTCACTTATACTAAACATAAAGTGGATAAAAGTGCTATGTCGCAATTTTTCGACATAGCACCTTTATCCAATATTAACGCGTTGAATGTTGGAGAGGTTTTTAGGTGTCATGTGTAAATTTAAGGTTATGTTTTGAAATTTATGTCAACAAAATTTTGTAAAAAAATCTGTTTTATTATAGTGTTAATAGTGTTTAAGTGCTAAAATATTATGGAAAGTAGAGGCAAGAAAATTCTTCGGCTGTTGGGTGAAAAACAAGGGTCAAATTTTGTGAAAACTGGTAAGATTCAAAAATTTTAAGCCACATGGGCTGCATGAATATCACTAATTTCTATTTTATGTTGCTCGCAGCAATATTTATTTTGTTATTCATATTTTATGGATTTCGGTAGGTATTATTTAAGTTGCATTTCTTAAATTTAGATAAAGCAGAATCCGACAAGATAGAGTGCTTGTCATCTAACATCCATAACCCCTTTAAAGAGAGCCAGAAAGAAAAACCTTCAACAAGTAAGACTGATAATGGGTATTGCCAATTATTTGGTTTGGGAGACACTACTCAAAAACCGTCAACCTCGAGGTCAACTTCCCACGATGTTTTAGGTGAGTTTTATTAGTAAATGTGTGGGTGGATTTCCTCGAAATCTATCTTCTTTGAAATTCCAGATGGAATGGAATCTGATGAGTTAGATAGCATTACATCAAGTGATGAATATATCCCATCCAACACAGAACATTCTAGTGACGATACGGATTTCGACAGTGACACTAATACTTACCATGAACAGGTTAAACATAAGACTAACTGGGAAAAAATTGAAGCTGTCAAAAAAAATATATTTGCCGAAGATGTTCATTCCCAAAATGCAAGCCAAAGTGAATTGGAACCAGTAGTTGAATCTTCATTTGCACGTGGGTCAAATACACAAAATGTTGCTGAAAATTGTACTAATATAACGGTGAAAACCCATGTAACTGCTGAAGGTGAAAATACCGATGTCGTTAATAACAATATTGAGATACATAAGTCAGTAAAAAAAAAAATATTCGAAATGAAGCCTAAAATTTCCCGAAAAAGAAAAAGAAATCCTGAAGAATGGAAACGAAAAAAATCTGCAATGTGTAGGGAAAGAGGTATGGATTATGTTTCTCAAAAAACTGGAAGGCTCATTCCAAAAAAGACGATTAATGAAAATGCGATATTGTGTAGAGAGAAATGCCGTTTACAGTGTGGATCCAAATTCAGTTTGGAGGCCAGGGAATCTATTTTAAGAAAATATTATAATTTGAATGTTAATGCCAAAAACTGCTTATTATTTAAAAGTATCGATATTAATCCAATATCAAGACATAGACGCAACGTAAAGCGTCCAAAGCAACACTCCTTTACATATTCAGTGACTATAGATAAACAAAAAAATCAAATCTGTAAGGAGGCTTTCTGCACTCTTTACCAAATTGGACGGAAAAAGTTGGAAAATATACAAAAACAGCTAAAAGCTGGACAGTCCGCCCCAACCCCAGATAAACAAGGTCGGCACAACATAAGACCACACAAAATTTCCGAAGATGTCATAGCTAACGTTGTGGTACACATTAGAAAGTTTCCAGCAGAAAATTCACATTATTCACGAAATAGAAATGAAAATCGAAAATATCTATGTCCGTTATTAAATATCACGAAAATGCACCAACTTTACATAGATGAGTGTAAGCAGAGACAGCTTGAAGACAAGTATTTAGTTAAACTGTCTATGTATCGCAATTTATTTGTTACGAAATTTAACCTTTCATTTGGTTATCCTAAGAGCGATACATGTAGTGTATGCGATGCAGGTGGGAATACTGTCGAACACACAGAAAATTACACTTTTGCTTTTGATTCTCAAAAGGCAGACAGGCAAAAGCCACTTTCCAATAAAAATATATGCTACATCACAATGGATTTGCAGCAGACTATGCCTCTGCCCAAATTGTCAACTTCAAAAGCATTCTACCTACGACAGATGTGGTTCTATAATTTCGGCATACATTCTATTACTCATGGTGGTCAAAAATCTCACTTTTTCACGTGGACTGAGGATGTTGCTAATAGAGGCAGTAATGAGATCGCAAGCTGCCTATTCCGATTTTGTAAAAATCTAAAAGAAGAACACCCAGAAATTGATCATTTGGTTATATGGTCTGATTCCTGCGCAGGACAAAATAAAAATTTTGTTATTATTGGTCTGTACGAATATTTAATACTAAACAGATTTTTTAAAATAATTGACCACAAATTTCCGGAAGTTGGACATAGCTTTCTAGACTCAGACAGAGACTTTGGGAGAATCGAGAAAGTTCTCAGAAAACACCAGTCAATTTTTATTCCAGAGCAGTACCGCGATATCATTACCTCTGCAAGCACCAAAGGAAGTACTTGTGTTAACATGGAAAATTTTTTCTATAACTTTGAAGAACTACCTGCTAAACTATACTTATTTAGAAAACAAACCAACACATTAAACGTGAAGATTAATATGAGGGATACGGTAAAATGGATAAGAGTTGAGGAATTTGGCTATTATTTCTATAAAACCTGCTTGAGTGAATATACGCCATTTTTACAAGTGGATTTGAAGAAAAAAGGGACCAAAAATGTTGATAGAACCCTGTGTGCACCTACCAGAGTGCTAACGAAGACTGGCGGGTTGACTTTAGAAAAAATAAAAAATTTACAAGAACAAGTTCAATTTGTCAACGAGAGTTACAGATGGTTTTATGAGGATATTATAGAAGAAAATGTGGCAAATCCAAAAAGAAGAAAAACATCTTAATTTTAAGTTTAATTCCTATTGTTTCTTCGTTTTTTGCAATATAAAAATTAAAAACTTACGTAAATGACTCCTTTATTCACACAACCATAACCTTATCATGAAAAAAGTTTGTGGATAAAAGTGTTATGTACACAAAATATTTTTTTTTTGTTGAAATTTTCAGTTTACACAAGCCAAAAGTTGTTGAAAAAATACTAACTTGAATATATTAAATGTCTAAAAAGCCTATGTTCAAATTAAGCAGTTTAAAAAAAAGTTCCAAATCAAAACGCGTTTTTGCATTTTTGAATTAGGTTTTCGTTGAAAAAATTCGATCTGGAAGAGCACTGAAAATAGATCTAAAAAAGAGAAAAAAATGTACTGTATGCTATAAATAAAAATAATATACTTACAATTTCAAAGACACGTTTCAAGAGCTCAAACCTCAAAGTGGCTAAATTTTGATTCTATTATTAAACTAAAAATAGAACAACGTATTATTATCAGGGTCTTTAAGAATAATGAAAAAAATTACTTACATAGTTTTTAGCACTAAATACACAATAGTTATTTATGATATAAGTGCTAAAAGTGACATTTTATTTTGTGAAAAGGGAAGTTTGGAACACGACGCCGAAGGCGGAGTGTTCCATTTCTTTGAACAAAATAAAATTACTTTTAGCACGAATATCATACACTATTTTTTCTACAAACGCACTAAAAGTGATTACTTTTAGCACTAGTGCTAAAAGTAATCACTTTTAGCACCAGTGTCATAAAATGGCATTTTAGACACTGACATCATGCGTTAAAAATGACACTTTTAGTGACGTTTGTAGAAAAAATCAATTATAACTGAGGTAACGCCCAATTTTGAATTAAGTTTTCGTTGAAAAATTCGATCTGGATGAGCACTGAAGGAAAACGTTGTGTCACCTAGGGACGTTAAAATCTAACTAAAATTTGAAAATGAATAACAAGTACCAGGCCAGCCAGCTGCGTTTCGTTATCGTCGCAGGAAATGCGGCTTCCGTGTGATAACAGGATTAAGCAAGTTCACACACAACTTGCTGTTCTTGTTGTTTATGAGAACGGTAGAAATTATAATTATTTTAAAAATAATATTTGGGGCCCCCAATTAAATCGTTACAAGTCCGTGAAAAATGGGGCCCAAATTGGAGCACTATTTTTTCAATGATGATGATGATGACGAGGCATGTTGTCTTTTATGTGACCATATTTTAGTTTAGAAAAATGGGGCCGACGACGAAAAAAGGGGGCCCAGTACGGTGTATCTTGTTACAAGTAACGGGGTACCAGGTACGAGGTACCAGGTACGAGTTACCAGGTACGAGGTACCAGGTACGAGTTCCATGCGACCACGACGAATGATGAACAAATTGGAGCCCTGTTTTCATAACCTTATTTGGGGGGCCCCCCATTGCATTTTTCCTAGATTTAGACAATTTCCTCATAGGCAACGTCGCGGCGAATTCAAGTATTAGTTTTGGCAACGTCGCACCTGTCAACTTGTCGTCGTCACTGAAATGGGGCCCATAATTTTAGGTTATGAGTTCATGTAAATGGGGGCCCTCTGTGCGGGTCTAGCAGCGGGGATAAGCACGTATGGCGCTTTTGATGACGTCACTTGGGTTAGGCCTCTCCACTTGCCGAAAAATTGGGGCTCACCGAAAAATGGGGCCCTGTCACTGAAATGGGGCCCATAATTTCAGGTTATGAGTTCTAGTTCATGTAAATGGGGCCCCGGGTCTAGCAGCGGGGACAAGCATGTGGCCCCTTTGATGACGTCACTTGGGTTAGGCCCCTCCACTTGACGAAAAATGGGGCCCACCGAAAAAATGGGGCCCTGGAATGGGGCACAGGCTCACCTGGGTTAGGCCCCTTCAATTTGGGGCACCTCCGATGACGGGCGCGGGCCCCACGACGAATGACAGGTCACTTCCGCTCGGGAACCGGCCTTTTTTTTTTTTTTTTTTTTTTTTTTTTTACGGATATGCGCACTCGCAAGGAAATGTCCTATCACGCTCGAGAAGCGGCAAGTGCGCGGAAATGTCGGTGTATGTTGGTCTTGAAACGGTTCAGGTCGTAACCTGAAGGGAAAACCGTCGCATGGAGTTTATTCCACAGCGATGTTGTTCTCCAGAGATATGAATTCTGATATAATGAGGTTCTTGGTGCCTCTAGTTTGACAGTAAATTCATGGTTACCGTCTCTTTGACGGGTTCGCCTGGTAGGTGCTATTCTCGGTGGAATCATACGTGCCAACTCTTCAGAGCATTTTCCGTGATAGTACCTGTAGAAGAGAGATAAATCGCCCACAGATCTGCGATGTTCGAGACCATCCAAGTTACGAGTAAGTGCGGGGTCATTGATCAGCTTGATAGCTCGTTTTTGCACGGTATTCAAAAGCATTAAGGTATGTTTGGGTGCTGCACTCCATATATGTGAGCAGTACTCCATAGTTGGTCGAATCTGGGCTTTGTAGAGTGTCAGCAATTGGCTTGGAGTGTACAGATGTCTTGTACGAAATAGCACCCCCAGCTTTTGGGAGGCCCTTTTAGCAATATCTGCCACGTGACTGTGCCAAGACATGTTGGTCTCTGCAGTAACCCCCAAGATTTTCAACTGACTCTGTAATGTGACAGCACTTCCAGATAGCATGATGTTTGGCTCACCGGTGCTGGTCTTTTTTGAAAACAGAGCTGCTTGGGTTTTCTGCGCGTTGAACTGTACAAGGTTTTTGTTACCCCAGTCCTCTATTATCTCCAGGTCGTTATTTATCTGCGATATTTGAGTTAGTCTAAGATGATGGAATTCACGTGCGGAAAGACCTGTGGGTGGTATGAGTGAGGAGACTACATTGCCATCGTCTGCAAAGCAATAAAGTGGATTTACTGTTTTATCTATGAGGTCATTTATGTAAATCAGGAAAAGAGTTGGCGAAAGGATTGCTCCCTGTGGCACACCAGCATTTATTTGGTAAGAGTTGGAGTTCTGGCCATCCAGTGCAACATAAATGGATCTGTCCTTTAGGTAACTTTCAAACCAAGTGCAAAGTTTCGGCGATAATCCCATTGCTTTGAGCTTGTTGAGCAGATTTTCATGCCAAACTTTGTCGAATGCTTTAGATATATCTAAGGCAATTGTTCTTGTTTCACCCCGCAACTCAATCGCTTTTTGCCATAAGTGAGTGACGAATGTAAGTAAATCTCCAGTTGACCTATATTTTCGAAATCCGTATTGCTTATCGTTGATAATTTTGTACTTTTCCAAGTACTTGGTTAGGTGATTGTTCACAACTCTTTCCATTACTTTTGATATCACCGGAAGTAGAGCAATTGGTCTATAGTTTAACGGATCTGTCTTTTTTCCTTTCTTTGGAATGGGTTGTACTGCGGCAGACTTCCATGATGATGGATATACTCCTTGCCTGTAAGACAAATTGAATAATTTTGC